AATTAACGGATGTCTAACGGCAAAACAAATAGAGGATCAAATTGGTTAAGATTTTTAAAGTCGAAGGATTTAATTGATCAAAAAAAAAAAATTAATGACCAAATTGATAATTTTGCTATTGTCAATGAACAATTTCGATAATTAACTCAAAAATTTGTGTTAGTACCCCCTAGTAGGGATATATTCCAAGGCATTGTCGGAGATGTTAATTGGTATGATAATATTAACAAAAAAATTTGTATAAAATTATCTCGTGTGAGATAAATTTTAAATATGTAATATTTTTAATAAAAATGTAACAATATATTTTATGAATTAATAATTATTATAAAATAAAATTTAAAATAATTTTTTTGTGCACTTGGAAACTTAATTAGACTATTTGTTCTACTTATAACGTTTATTTGATTTTTTTTTTTTTTAACTTTAGTTCTAAGAGAAAATTACTTTTAACTGATGCCAATTAAGTAACAATATAAGGATCTTAGCGTAAATTGACAACATCGATAGTGAAATTTCGATCTGACCCAGTTCAAAATGGTCCCTAATTTTTCTTATTCGACTTTTCACATAAAACATGCTATCCAATCACTTCTTCAATTTTTGTGCATATAAGCTCACATTAATTTGCACTAACAAAATCTAACGGCCATTTGTTTAGAAGGAATTACAATTTCGTTCTCATATAATTTTAAAAGCAAGCAAATTCTTATAACCTAATGCCCCAAAAACGAAGGAATTTGCGGGAGCGTTATGCTGTGCAACATGCATGGTGCACACGATTGCAAAAACGACGTCATTTGACGTTTAACTTTTTTTTTAAAAAAATTAGTTTTAATTGTCAGTAACGGTGTTATGTTGTGCATAATTTGAACTATACATCAATAACTTCATAAGTATATATTCAGAATTGCATAACTACACACCCATAACTTCATAACTAGACATTCAGAATTGCATAACTATACATCCATTAACTTCATAAGTATACATTCAGGATTGCATAACTACACATCCATAACTTCATAACTATATATTCAGAATTGCATATATAACTACACATCCATAACTTCATAACTATACATTCAGGATTGCATAACTACACATCCATAACTTCATAACTATACATTCAGAATTGCATAACTACACATCCACAACTTCATAACTATACATGCAGAATTGCATAACTACACATCCATAACTTCATAACTATACATTCAGAATTGCATACATAACTTCATAACTATACATTCAGAATGTCAAATTATAACTTCATAACTATACATTCAGAATTGCATGCATAACTACACATCCATAACTTCATAACTATACATTATGAATTGCATGCATAACTACACATCCATAACTTCATAACTATACATTCAGAATTGTATAACTACACATCCATAATTTCTTAACTATACATTCAGAATGTGAAATTATAAATTATGAACATATGTTTACGTAACTAACGGCAATTGAAAATGATTTTTTTTTTTAAAAAGAAGTAAAACGACACCGTTTTTGCATCCGTTGCGTGCCTTCGGAGTTATGTGGGAATGGAATTGTAATTCTCTCCAACCAAATACCTTGTAAGTATACAAATTTATTGAGTAGGAATATAAAAAAAAAGAATTGATAAAAATCATGATCCTCCTTATATAAAGCAATGCCACATTATAGGGAGTAGAAAATGAGAGTATAGAATGTGGGCAATTTATATCATGAATCATCCACATAGCATTATGGACCTTGAACCGAAACAACGAGATACAAATTTCATACTCGTAAGGTACATAATTTCACAACACAAGACACAAAAATTTCAACTTAAGACACATACATATGTTATATATTTACTTAATTTTCATATCTGATTTAGGTACATAATTTGTGTTCAAGACACACAATTTCACAATACAAGATACAAAAATTCATAACATAAGACACAATTACTAATTCGTTTAGTATACATGTATAATTCATACTCTTAAGATACACATAATTTCATAACATAAAATATAAAAAAACTCATAACATTAAAACACATACACATACATCAGTGTTCACAATGCACTGTAACATGATCCATGATATACGAATATACGATTGTAGAGCCCAACAAACAAAACCAATTTTAACGGCTGTGCGGGATCCTTATCTTGCAATTTGTACTCAATGTTTTGCTCAATACGGATGGGTGGTTGTACTTGATCTGGACAGACCATCTTGCGCCTTTTTTCTTCTTTTTTTTTTTACTTAGAGTTTACATTGTCGGACACAATGACTAATCCTTTCATTAGATTATAGGGATCTCTTTTGAGTGGAACAGTTTGATTGAAGATTTAAAACTGTTCCATTTTCAAAATTAAAGATCAAATCCTTACATTTGGTTAAGTCTATTTCACTCAACCACACTCTCTAAGATTGTTGCGCTTCTTTCTACTCTTATTTTTCACATCCTCGTCATAGGTCGGGACCAATAAGATTTCACGAAACGCTGTTGTACCGCACGTGTTTGGTTTGGTGACCATGTGTGCTCTCATGTCTCATCTACTCCACCACTTGATGCACATTATCCATTGTTTATCAAATGTTTGTTCCTCGTTTTTTACTTCTTTAATTTAATATTACAATTTGTATATATATATATATATATATATATATATATTTTTAAACAAAACCAATCAAATTAAAATATATCATCCATCCATAGAAATCCAGACATAGAACATAGATTACAATAAAAGAGGAACATCACGTTGCTCCATAAAATCTTACATAAAACGTGTTTCCGTAATCAATATATGAATACCACAATTCAGGAATCTTCTAACAAAAGAAAAAAACAAACCTTAAAACGTAGACGCCATCTCTCAAAATCAAATCGCATCGAAACACATAAGAGGAACTAAAAAAGCGCACTTTTTCCTATATATTATATAAAATTTTCAGTCTCTATATTGTATAATTTTGTACAATCTAATTTTTTATATCTTAATTGTATGCAATTTAATTCATGTACTAATAAAAGTAATATAATTAAAAAATCATTTATAATTTATGTTGAGGGGAAAAAAATTCTACCATTAAAAGGAGTGGTTGAGTAGATGAACATAAATCTCTGATAAGTTAGATCTTTCTAATGTAATTTAACTCTCATATATGATTTACATATTAGAGGAAATTTCAATTTTGATCCTATGAATATAGGTGTCTTGTTAATTTCAGTTCCCGACTTTTAAAAGTGTCAATTTAATACCGTGATTATGTAATTTTTGAAGTGACCAAAATTGACAAAAATTGCATAGTCATTGTACTAAATTAACAATTTTAAAAATTATGGATTAAAATTAACAAAATCCGATAATTATAGAACCAAAAATAAAATTTCCTATTACTGATTATTATGCATGAAAGTTTATCGCGTGTACCCCTTAAATAGTGAGTATTAATTCTCTAGGTATATACCATATATATGTGCCTTTATATTTTAATATGGTATTATAAAAATGGAAAATTATTTTAGTCCATATACACATCAAACACACACTTCCACTAAAATAGTATAGTTTTTAATATATATATTCCAAAAAAAGAAAAGAAAAGAAAAGGACGGTACTGTGATAGTGATACGGAGCATTTGTTTTCCGTTTTAATTAATGCCATTTAAGTTTTTAAAATGAGGTTTCTTTCTTTCTAAAAGTCAATTATAACTCAATTAATGAGCAAATAATATACCAGGACTATGTGGTCTAATGGTATCCGGGTTGGATTTTTATTTGGAAGGTTGTAAGTTCAAGTCTCAGTGGAGGTGTTATTAGCTCTTTGTGTTTTGGTTGAGAAAGTATATATATGTGAACAAATACTATCTGCAGTATGCACCAGGTACTTAGCAATAATGTTTATTTGATTAATTTTGAATAAAAATACAATATATCAAAAATACATTATTCTAACACTTATTATTCTTACTCATAAAACACATTATCTTATCCTATAAATTTAATTATCCTAACACATATAAAGTGAATTATTCTAACTCATAAAATACATTATTTTACCTCAAATAATTAAAATGAGTTTATATTTTTCCGGCGATATTTGGCCGGTTGGACCAAATGTGTTAAAAATTGCATAGTTAAGATACTAAATTGTTAGTTTTTAAAGTTATGTACTGAAATTAACAAGGCCCTAATAGTCACGGGACCAAAAGTGTAATTTCCTCTTCTTCTTTTTTTTTTTTAACATCAAAACAACGTCGTTTTGAGCAGTGAGCCACACAATTATTTGTCATTCTAAATGGGTGATCACATGATCAACAATAGTAATTGCATGGACCGTGATCCACACAGCTATGTGGATCATGGTCTAAAAACGACGTCGTTTTGCTTAATTTTATTTTTTCGCGCGTCCACCTGTAATATATATTTTTATAAATTATAATGTACATTATTGTAAAGCATAATCTACATGATTTTAAAACATAATGTACATTATATTACTCTAGATGTTTCATTATTCTAACACATAATGTATATTATTTTAACACATAATGTACATTATTCTAACACGTAATTTACATTATTTCAAAACATAATGTATATTATTTTAACACATAATGTACATTATTTTTACTTATAATATTCAGGATAATATTTTGGACCTTGATTCACACTGCTGTGTGGACCGTAATACACACAATAATTAATCCGTGACTAAACTCCAATAACAGATAATTGATTCTTTGGGCCGAAAATATTAAGTGAGAATAGATACTCAAAAACAAAACTATATTTTGATTGCTTTCGGCAAATTAATCAAAGTTTTTATTTTATATATAATATATTTTGATCTTCAAAAAATATAATATATTTTGTATACATATAATATATTTAAATTATTTATTTATTATTAATTTAGCGAATATCAAGAAATTTATCCGATTTAATCAATAATTAAATTTTTGCAAAAGCAATTAAGCATTTTAAAATTCTCAAGCATTTTTCATGAGGTAAATAGGCGCATAGCTTTTATATTGTATAGCTCCGCTCTCCCTCTAATTGGCATTTATATTCTTTCAGTTACAGAGTCGCCGGAGAAACCAATAAACAATCTCCGTTTCTCATCTTTTCCGATCGTCAAATTCTTCTATATAAGCAGCAGCCATGGCGTCATGTTACAGTTACCAATCCTCCGCCCTCCTCCGCCGCCACCACCGGAACATCCGATGCGCCACCGCCTCACCAACAACAGTCAGCGGCAACAACCACCACTCTTCTCTGCCGCCGACCACTCTCAACTTCTCCGCCAAGTACGCGCCCTTCACCTCCATCTCCACCGGCGTCCCCGCCGCCGAGTCTTACTCCCTCGACGACGTCGTCTACCGCTGCAGCTCCGGCGGGCTGCTGGATGTGCAGCATGACCTGGAGGCGTTGAAGCAGTTCGACGGGGAGTACTGGAAGAATCTGTTCGATTCGCGGGTCGGGAAAACCGCCTGGCCGTACGGGTCGGGTGTGTGGTCCAAAAAGGAGTGGGTTTTGCCGGAAATCGCGGACGAAGATATTGTTAGCGCGTTTGAAGGGAACTCGAATCTTTTCTGGGCCGAAAGATTCGGGAAGAAATACGTCAGCATGAACGATTTATGGGTGAAGCATTGCGGGATTAGCCACACGGGGAGTTTCAAGGATTTGGGGATGACGGTTCTGGTGAGCCAGGTGAACCGGATAATGAAGAAGAAACCGGGCGGTTTAGTCGGAGTCGGCTGCGCGTCAACCGGCGACACCTCAGCGGCTCTATCGGCTTACTGCGCCGCCGCCAACATCCCTTCCATAGTCTTCCTCCCAGCCGACAAGATCTCAATGGCTCAGCTCGTCCAGCCGATAGCCAACGGCGCGTTCGTGCTCAGCATCGACACGGACTTTGACGGCTGCATGAAATTAATCCGTCAAGTAACGGCGGAGATGCCGATATACTTAGCGAACTCCCTTAACAGTCTCCGTTTGGAAGGGCAAAAGACGGCGGCCATAGAAATCCTTCAACAGTTCAACTGGGAGGTCCCGGACTGGGTAATCGTCCCCGGCGGCAACCTGGGGAACATCTACGCCTTCTACAAAGGCTTCAAAATGTGCCAAGAAATGGGATTAGTCGACAGAATCCCCCGTCTAGTGTGCGCACAGGCGGCGAACGCCAATCCGCTCTATCTCTACTACAAATCCGGCTGGTCGGAGTTCTCGCCGGTGAAGGCGGTCACCACGTTCGCCTCCGCTATTCAAATCGGCGACCCGGTGTCCATAGAGAGGGCAGTATTCGCGCTCAAGAACTCCGACGGGATCGTGGAGGAGGCGACGGAGGAGGAGCTTATGGACGCCATGGCCATGGCGGATTCCACCGGCATGTTCACCTGTCCCCACACGGGGGTGGCGCTAACAGCCCTGATGAAACTCCGGGAAAAAGGAGTGATCGGAGCCAACGAGAGAACGGTGGTGGTCAGCACTGCTCACGGGCTCAAATTCACGCAGTCCAAGATTGACTATCATTCCCGTAACATCCCTGGCATGGGCTGCCGGTTTGCCAACCCGCCGGTGAACGTCAAGGCGGATTTTGGGTCCGTCATGGATGTGCTGATCAAGTATCTGAACAAGAATCATTGAACAGTCAAAGCCATTAACGCTGTCGTACGTGGTATGTTTGTGGCTCGGTTTGATTATGATTTCGTTTTCGTAATGAAAGATAAGGTTACTGTGGCAGATATATGAGAATTAATCTATTTTTTGCTGTCAGGATTCTCGTTGTTCCCTGGGAAAAACATTTCGTACAACTTGCGTCCATGAAAAGGAAAGACCATTAAAACTATATCACCTTTGATTAAAGGGTGTAGAGTCTATTAGTCAATATATATTAATAAAATTGTAATTTGTATTTCTAAATTATAAATGTATTTTTTGAATGACCAAGAGAAATTGAAGACTTGTAAGGAATAAATGTTATTCTTATGTAATAAACACATTAGATGACTTATGCTTTTTATTATGGGATTGTATTAGTAAAATTATCAAAACTATCACAATAAGTGAAAATGTAATATTTTTAAATTAAAACCTAATTTATTTAGGAATTGAAAAATATAATATTTTTAAATTAAAATTTAATATTAAAAATTAAAGAGTTACTAGCTAAAAATTGTAATATTTATAAAAAATTACAATACTTATAAAATACTTGACAGGTTGATCGAGGATTTATAAGATAGTTTTATATGAAATTTTGTTCATTAGAAAAAAAAAAAAAAAAGGATCAAACCCCAACAATGCATCAGAATTTGAAGGGTGACTGAATTAACTATTTCTTTATAAATACAGTATATTAATATGAATAAAACACAAATTTCTCGTAATATAATCCATTCTACAATTTTGTAATATAATTAAACAATAGAATATTATTTATAATCCATTTTAAAAACCTATTTCATACCTTCTGAAATCATATTAATATTGTCTCTATAATATCGAGTTTAGTCATGTGCTTTTCCTTGTATATGGTACTATGGTAGTGTTTAAAAAAAAACAAAAAAACAAAAAAAAACAAAAAAAAACAAAAAAAAAAAAAGATGAAGAAGCTAAACATATTGGGCCAGAAATGGGAAGCGGCCCAACTGAGAACGGAAATTGGATCAATTCATATTGGGCCTTGAAATCAGCCCAGATATCCTTTTGCTCGCAATGAATTCTTGTTCTCCATGCGCCATTCATCTCGGAGCCTAGCAATGAAACTCTCCGCTTTTACGTTAACATCCGGGCTCGGGCAAACAGACGGCCCGATCATGTCCTCGCCGTCGATTTGCTCCGATTTCAATGACATCACGTCGACGTCTTCCAGCTCCGGCGAGCTGCACCGAGACTCTCCGTGGTTGTTAAGAATTCGAACGAAATCTCCGCGCGGCACGAAGCTCATTTCCGGCATTCCGAACGGCAGCGGGGGAGGCGGCACTGGAATTAACGGGGATTGTGAACCGCTATTCAAATTCTCGTCGTAGTAACTGCTCGGAGTTTTTGTAGGCAGTGGTGGCTTTCTAGCTGTCACTGGCCGCCGAGGCGGCGGCGTTGACGGAGGTTGAGTTGGCGTTTGGTGATAATATGATGGCGGCGACGGATCAGAGGCATAGCTTGGGGATTTGAATCGCCTGCTTATGTTTCCGGCTTTGAGAAAACTATTGACAATTGAGGAACGTGGCGGGAGAGGAGGCGGTGGTGGAGGATTCGATGAGGATTGATGATTGAAGCGCTTACTTTTGCCGCCTGTTTTGAACAAATTGTTCAAAATTGATTTTGGCGGAGGCGGCGGTGGAGGAGGAGGAGGAGGTGGTGGTGCATTGAATGAAACAGAGTGTACACGCTTGCTTTTGCTGCTCTTTTTAAAGAGATTGTGGAAAACCTTAGACGGCGGCGGCGGCGGCGGTGGAGGAGGTGGCGTTTGCGGTGGTACAGGTGAATGTGGAAATGACGGAGAGTGTTCAGAGGTAGGGGCAGTCTCGTAAATGTTTCTAGTTTTTGTTCTCTGTTTCCTCTTTCTCTGATTGTAAAAAGAAGCTATAGCCGTTGCTATTTCATTCTTCGCGCCGCTCTTTTTCCGCTGAAGTTTTGGCGGCTTTTCCTCCTCGGGGACATGTTCTCTCACCGCCGGCGGTGCTGGTGGAGGTGGTGGCGGAGGCGGAGGCGGAGGTGGCGGTGGAGGAGGAGGAGGAGGGGGCCTGTTTTCTACAATTACAGCCGCAGTTTCATTACTTTGCATATTCAAAACTTCCTTCCTTGGAACACTGTTTAAGGATCTTCTCCTTTTCAGCTTCTTCTGCGACGGCGGTGGAGGATTCGGCGCAGGCGGGGAAGAACGAAGTTTAACCGTATCCACGGGAATAACCTTAACCTTAACCTCATCCTCCTTCCTCTCCACCTCACTCCACCGCGGACGGTGGCGATCATACTCCGCCGCCGCCGTCGTTGATCGATAAAAATTGACTTCAAAATCATCATAAAACCGGAAACGGTTGTCCTCAGTTTCCCACGCCGGCACCTGCCTCAGATCCGGATACGAGCTACTGCTCCTCCGTAACCGGCTAATCCCAATCCCAGTCTCCGGCCCCGCAATCGGCGCAGAACTATAAACCTTCGGATCAGAATACTCAAAACCCGACACCTCGGAAGCATTTCCCCTACCTTCCCCTCGCACATCATCTTCATTACGGGCAGCCGGAACGTCGTCGTTCTTACGAGCAAAAACACCGCAAAGAATGGCGAAAACGACAAGCAACACATTAATCGAATCCCAGCTCTTCTTCACGGCGTTGGGTCTAAGCAACAGGGAAGCGTGCGAGAGAAAGGGAGGAAGCAGGAAGAACACGACGAGCAATGCCAGAATGGGGATGAGCAAGATGAGCGCCACGGGATTGAAGATCGGAGACGGTGGTTGACGGCGGAAGAAGGTGGGGGACTGTGTCCAAAAAGGTGGGGAGTCTGAGTCTCCGTCCGCTTCCATGGAGTTACGTTGTTTAATGGTGGGCTTTTGGCTTTAGCGTTCGAGGCCAGGCGTGGCCTGGGCGTCCTTAAAAGCTTTTTGGCTATGGAGCGTGGCCTGGATGATGATGGTTCATGACAGAGAATTGTGAGTTTTTAATTATTTGAAAATGACATATTATTATTTATTATAATAATAATTTGGTACGCATTTGAAAATAGACCTTTTTTCTATCTTCATTAGCTCATTTTCACCTTTTTAAAATGCCATAAACTTGATGTTGTATAGATATGCAAATATATGACATAATTACACAAGGATAATAAATTGTACATAGTACTCTTAGCACTCGTGTTACCAATATTTAGCATAATATGTTACTAATGTATTATGTGTCTTGATCTTGGGCGGAAAGAGAGCAAGCTAAAGATTCTAAAAGTGTTAAGATAAATTCAGACAAGTCGACCTTCCCTATCATGTTAGTATAGAAATATCATAAAGATAACTACTGATAATTAAAGAAGAGGATTCGAGTCATCATACATCAATATTTTATATTTTAAATTTCAATCAAATTGGTTAGACGATTAACTTAGTTTTGTGACTACAAAGTTATAAATTCAACTCTGAGTGATTTATTGATCTTCTTTGTTAATTAAGTTTACACACTATCAGTTAGGGGTGAGGGGTGTAATATTATTTGCTTTGATTGCAAAGTAACAGGGAAGGGAAGGGGATGACTTTGAAGGCATGCGGAAAATGAGCTAGGGACATCCTGAGACATTCATTTCAAAGCAAACAGGACAGAGGTAACGCCAACTCGCCAAGTGTAACGACAGAGAACCGCTTTCATTAAATTTCAATTATTTAGTTTCATGTGTTCATTAAATTTCAATTATTTAGTTTCATGTGTTCGATGTAAATATGCAATAATTACGCTTAATAATTCATTTTAACATCATGACCTTTATATTTTTGAGAGAAGATCTAAATCATCGTAAATCAGCTGAACACATTTACACAGAGATCGTTGGTGAGACTCGATTTTTTGTCATTTTTTTTTTAAATTTTACTACTGTGACCAACTGAACTGCCGTACGAGTATATCGGCCTTTGTTTTGCAAATGAAATATTTAAATAGGGAAATATTATAAAGAAGAAAGATAATAATAAATTAATAAAATATCTATGTACTAAATAAAATCATAATTTAGTTTAATGGTTTTGTTATTTTAAAAGAAAAGGTTAAAGGGTATAGTATACTATAACAGTACAAAAAAAAACACTAAGAATTAAAACAACAAATGAAATAATTGAGAACAAAAAAAAAAATACAATTTTGATCCTAAAAATGTAACATAAGAGCTATAGCTTATCTTTTTTTTTTTTTTTTTTTTTTTTACACAATCACGTGAAGAATCAATAGAAGTATAGAACCCCGTGAATGGAAGTTGTCAATCATGAAATACCAAAGTCTTGTCAAAAGATCGAAAAGGAAAATACTTTGGAAAAAAAAAAGGGAGAAATTTTGCATAAAGCCTTAATAAAAAGAGGATATATCATGATGCTAGTTTCATGAAATGTCTCAATTATTGTTATTATTTTTCGGATGATGAGAGAAATTTACAATTATTATTTAAGAGTATGTATGAGATAAATTTTATTTTTATGTAATAGTCTATAAATTACACATGAAAAATAAATTACACTTAAAACAGTTTATGCAATGGACCTAGAAATAGACAAAAATGAAACTTTTAACTTTTACGTATAAAAGTTACTATCACGCCCTTTTGGGCAATGTACCAATTATTTATGCGTGTAGCAAGGGATATAAAAGCAAAAACAAGCAAGGTCCCATGTTAATATGTGAGACCTGAGGACCAAGAGAAATAGATAAAAATGAAACTTGTAACTTTTATGTATAAAAATTACTATGACACCCTTTCGGGGCAATGTACCAATTATTTATGCGTGTAGCATGGGATATAAAAGCAAAAACAAGCAAGGTCCCATGATAATATGCGAGACCTGACCTACAGTACCACTTTACAAAATCAATGCATGTACTACTGTCACTGCATTATTACCCTTCTTCATTCTCATTAATATTGTTTTATTGCACATACTTTATGTGACTCCAATTTTTTTAGTATTACTGACTCGATTTGTTATAATGCAATAAGGTTCAAATCTACAACCTTTTATATGGAAAAGTAATTTGGTATCACTAAACCACACGGTTTTTGGCTATGTGACTCAACTTTAATTAATTACGTCATTTTAAAAAATTATACTTCGTATATATTGTTTTGTTCTAATATGGTAATGATTGTATCATGTATGTGTTGTGAAAGGTTTTATATGGAGTTGAAAAATTGTTAGATTTTAAATTGATCAAGATTAGACAAATACTTGAATGTATATTGAGAAATATTGATCTTAAAAATTAATTT